ACCTGCTATTTGAAGGGGACCTGGTGGAAACCCAAAGCAGGCCATGCACAATCCGATTACACCCCGGGGAGATACATCACATTTGCTGAACTCTGCTTGAGTGGTATTCTCTGCCTCTTCGAGCACTTTTAAAGATCCACTTACATGTTTATGGCCAGGTAGGAACTTGAGTCAACAAGTGTCTGACGAGGCTTAAAATCCTGCTTGGTTTCATTGTTTCATCCTTCCGGTTACTGACTCTTTCCATCCTGCAGAGAAAACTAATAAATAAATGTGTACATGTCTACTTTGTACTCACTCGGCTGTTAAGTGAATGAGAAAGAAACAGAAAAAGCAAGTCCTGAACCTCCGAGGATTGCAGGTTGGGCAGGTTTCAACTTAAACAAACACAAGATATCCAGAGGAGAACTGACGGCAAAGAGGTGAAAGGTCAGTCCTAGTCGGGTGACTTGGTGGGCTGCAACGCGTTTCTATAAACTCACAACCTCCTTTACTTTTCTCTGTTTTTCCAATAAATGTCCAGATAAAGACAACTAGGTCCAAAATTGAGTTGTTTATTTAAACGTAGCCAATTTAGACAAAATACAAACATCACATCTATTATTTTCTATTGCTAAGTGAAGCAATTTTTAACAATTTGTGCTGTTGGTAATGATTATTCTAATCTTTTGATTTTTATTTGTTGATTTACTTTTTAAATAAGTCAGTTTCAAATCCCAGAACCCATTAATTAAAGCTTATCTTTTAAAAAATAACATGCAAAACAAAACAATAACCCTCACGTTCCACAGAAGATTAATTAGTTTTGCTAGAGAAAAAAAACTTTCTTTCTGACTTCATTATTCTGTTTTTCTTATCTGTGAATCAGCTACTTAATAAATTACATCTTTTTTATATTAATGTAATAAAACAGAAGGTTCTGATCCTTTTGCCAAAATCAAACTGAAGCAATTTCAGGGTGGGTTTTTGAGATATGCCAGAGTGCAGGATGATAGAGGAATAAGTGCTATAAATGGTTAGTTCCCTTATTTGCATCATAACATTTTATGTTTAATTTATAGTTCCAAACACTTTGGAAGCATTAAGACTCAAGTATTTCAGGAACTTTAACACTTTACAATAAGGGTCTTTTTATTAGCATTGCTCTTATTGTGAACTATTAAGTGTGCTTAAAGAGCAAGTCACCCCCAAATCAACTATTTTTTCTGATAAACTATATAAATCCGTGTCTAATCGTGCTGCAGACACGTGTAGTCAATAGTTTTGCACTTTAGTGCATTTTAGTTAAAATTTAAAATTTCTGCCTGAAACTGTCAGTGTTGTGCCGTTGTCAGGTAAAAACTCTGCACTGCATTTGAATTTAAATCTGCCACCGCTGTTGGCTAAGAGGTATGCTATGATGTAAACTGGTACATTATGATGTCACAATGTCGTGAGTGTGTGTATTTGTTAGTGGCTCCACCCTCTCGGTCTGCAAGGCAACAGCATTTGTTGCATTTTTCAAACATGAAGTGGGAGTGAAGTACACTTCTTGTAAGGGGTGACTTGCTCTTTAAGGTAAGGACAAAGGGCCAAGGGGGGTTCTGTTTAATAATACATTACATAATATAGCTAAGCAGTTAATGCTTAATAACACATTAGGTAACATTAAAAAAGGAATCTTTATTGTAAAGTGTGACTAGAACTTTAAACACATAATAAAACAATGGAAATAATATTCAACTCAACAGTTGACCAGTATATGTATATTTTTTTATGATATATATATATTTTTTTTTTTTCAATATCACAGTTTCATTGTGAACTCATCAGTTTTTTTTTCAGTTTTGGTTGAAACAAAAAAAATACATCAGCATCTGTTTAATTAAAAGTCTAGAAGAAATTTTTAAATTGGCCTAAATCTTGATCAAAAACAATGGACTCAGCATCTCCGAGCGTCTGCTCTTTGTCTGAATGCGTCTCCTTCCTGATAGGACAAAAAGGCCTGGAAGTCTCACTGTTAGTAAATATACTCCATGTCATTGTTTTCTTAGCTAAACTGAATAAAATTATAATTTCTTACTTAAGCCCTATTCATATCAGTTTATTCCAAACCTACAGAGGGTCCACTCCAAATTCCTTTATCCAAACAAGGTCTGGAAACTGGCCCTGGCTACAACATATCTTTGACATTCACCATGCAGGCGACCATATTTCACCTCAGCTCCATCGTCGGCTGAGTGCTGCACTACGTAAAGCATCCAGAACACCTGATAATAATTCTTATCAAAGCGACTCTTTAGATTAGGAGCGCGGGGGCCGAAACCTGCATACCTCGCCCTGCAACAAGCCCATGTTTGGTTGAGCGCCGGTCCGCGAAAGATAAACACTAAGCATCATCGAGCTTTAGAGGTTGAGCAATGAAGTAGGCATGAGGAGCCAAGCTTGCAACAGTGCTTTACTGGTGCGAATCAGTGATCCATTGACTTGAGAGTGTGTAGAAGTGGGGGTTGGGGGGGGGGGGGGGGGGAGCATGTGAGAGTCACACCAGCAAGGCTGTTAAACTTTAGCTCTTATAAGGTTACAGTTTACAGTTGCTATGGTGTTGTTAAACTTACAGCGGTTAGGTATTTGGTGTATTTGATGGAGCGTAGGGAAGATTTTAAAAGGCTGAGACAGTCCAACTCCCCATCATAAACTCGTCCTGCTATTATACCAAGCACCGTGTGCGTCTGTGCAAAACCTACCTGAAGCATGTCCACAAGAGAGCCTGTGAAAAGCACAAACTCCCCCGAAAGCCTCACTGATCTCCCACTAACACCACATGCTGTTTCCACGAAGACAAAGTGCCGCGGTCTAACCTTATGTTAATTCATCCAAGGAAATGTAAGTGTCTACTGTCCTGGATGAGTTCCAAACATTTCTAAGACATTAGATTCCTCTGGCCATTACTCCCCCCTGTTTGTGCGCTGGCTACAGACGGCTCCCGTCTGGTCCTTCGGCTCGTGGACATGATAGAAATTCAAACGTGCGCCACGGGCGAGCTGAGAGGTTTAACTGCCCAACAACACAAGGCTGCAAACAAACCAATCGCTAAATAACTGACATTTGCTGATTAGTGTTTGATGTATTCCACCTATGAAAACGAGACCTTCCAGAATAAAATCCAAGGTCAAACTGTTTCCAAAGTTTGACTGATTACAAAAATGTGAAATATGTATTACGCTGAATAAATAGGAGGGCTAGTTTATATCTTTTTGCAGGTTTTTGGCTATTTTTACAGACACTGATATGAATTCCAGTATTGATGGAAGATCTACAACAGCTGTATGTTAATGAACCCTCAGTGCTTGTTGATCTCAGTGACAGTGGAAGCAATAATGTGTGGAGAGTTGTGATTCAAGAATAAAGACACAAGTATCTCATTGTGATACAGCTCTTGAGGACCAAACTGCATTTAAAAGTTTCCAAAACCTCTCACCATATTTCCAAGGACTTCCTCGAGTGTTGTCGCTGAACTTGTGTTTTCAGATAAATTTCCTCACCGAAAACATTCCGAATCACTGTGGTCTTCAAAAAACTGTCTAGAACTTTTCTAAATTGAATTTCCGTGAGTCAGAAAGGAAGAAAAATGAGAGACAGCTTTTGAAATGGTTGATGATGAAATCAACATATCAAATGAGGGAAAACTGGCCAACAAAATGGGACACAGTTAGGACACTGTTACCAAATCATAACGAGAAAATTTGAATGGCTGTTGCTGTTTTTTTTTTTGCCTCATATTCCCTAAATGACCCTCCTCATTAAGGTGGGACTAGTCCCCGTCAGCAGAGAGACACTGACTAAAGACGTGTGTAGACGATGCGTATTTATCGCAGAGGATACCCTTATACCTTCTCAGCGGCCTAGTGGTATGAGTGTCCACCCTGGGACTGGGGGATCGGGGTTCACATCCAGGTTGGATTGGGAGATTAAACCATACAATAGTTCCAGAGCGCAGACACTGCTGCTGGGATGGGTCAAATGCAGAGATGCAATTACACCAGTGAGTGGTGACTAATGGGACTGGAACTTTAATGTAACATTTGACAATGAAATGTTGTAAGATGAAGATAGAGATCAAATGTACTATTTATGTCACATAGGACTGAAATTTTTGATTTTTGCTTTCAGAATTGAGGTTTACTCCATGTGTATAGCACTTCCTCTTGGTCAGATCAAACAAAACACCCACAGACGTTGTTTTCTTTTAGTTTATGAACTTCTAAAATGGTAATTTTGATTGCATAGACCCACAGTGCATCCATAGAAACCTCGGCCACGAACCAAATATGGTATTAAGTCAGTCCGTTTGGCGATTCAGTTACATTGCACCGACACTAATCAGATTACTCCAAAAGAGAAATATCTGATACACCTCCTCTACGTCTCCATCTCTCCTCTGAGGAGATGTGGAGCTCAGAAAAGGGCCAAAGCAAATAAACCCCAAACACAGACATCCACAACAAGAGATATCACTGAACCAGATTGTGCAATGTTTACAGAAACTGGGCCATTCTCTTATCCATTTAGGAGGGGAGAGAGAGAAACACAATTATATCACGTGTTTTCAGACAAACAGCATCAATCTGGTGTGTTTAGATTAAATTAAGCCCCGGTTATGAAAGGAGATATTCTCCTCTGTGAGCCTGGGATACTTAAGAGCTCTTGCCAACATGTTGCAGCGGCAGATGTTTGAACTTCAGCGGCTTGGCTGAAAACTCTACCTCGGATCACAAACGCTCTGACTTTTGTCTGGCTTTACTGGTGCAGGAACTTCCAAGATGTTCACAACAAAAAGTTGATAGCGGGAAACCTGGTGAGCTGTGGTGGAGGAAACTTAGATAGAAGCTGAATAAGTTTGGTTTCTTCTCGTTTTTCTCTTGAAAACAGATATTTTAGGAATTCGGCGGCTAAAATAGTCACACGAACCCCCCTGACGCCCCTTGTAGCGCGGCGGAGGCAGCAGGTAGGATACATACCTCCTCTTCGTGGTTGGTGAATTCACTCGGCTCGTTCTCTTTCTCGATTTTGTTGTTATTCATTCTGAGTCTTTGACACTTTCACTTCTTCTCTGGTCTCTGCTCTTCTCCAAAACCCACGAATGATGACAAAAGCAGCTCCCCGAGACAGTCAGAGGGAGTCCGGCTGTCCTTCTCTCACCGCACTCTACCAGTACGCATCAATAACGGCTGATCTTCTTCTGGTTCTTCTTCTTCTTTGTTGGTATCAAAAGCGGTAAAAACAGGAGTCAGCTGTGAGCGGTGTTCCTCTCCTGTCGGGTATTCCTCAGCATTCCCTGGAAAGCTTTACCGGAGGCGCTTGTTGTTGCTGTTCCCCCTCCTGAAACGGAGTTAATGCTCCTTGTACGTGCGCCGGAGGCGAACTTCTCCTCCTCTCTTCATCTCCGAGTCCGTAACGTCCGCGCGCGCGCCGCGGAGGGAGGGGTCTGGGTGGGATGCAGCGTTTACCCTCCACCGGAAAATCTGCATCCATCATCTAGAAAACCAGCTCAGATGTTATTTTAGTCCCTGAAACATTCCTGCAACGTTTTCCTCACGCGCTGCTTCGTGTTGTCACGCTGTAAGAACACATTTGTTTATTAAATACGCAAAAAATGTGATTTTGTGGTTTTATGCGTTTAAATACCTAAAAGACCCGGTCATTTCAAATGACTTTTGCTTAAACTTTTACTGTTTGTTTTTAATTATTTTTATTCAACCATTTAGTTTTATTTTTGTTTAACTGATCTTTTTCATATTTTTACTATACTTTATTCTTTTTTTTTTTGTCTTGATTCTTGGGTGATTTTCCTTGTGAATTACTCTGTGACATTTTTCTGTGGTTGCTATAAATAACCTTTCGCTCACTCACTCACTCACTCACTCACTCACTCACTCACTCACTCACTCACTCACTCACTCGCGTTATAACTAATTATTTTTTATGGTTCAATATTTTTATGACACACAAAGGTTAAAGTCTAATTCAGTAGGTAGAGTGGGTTATCCAGTATTCAGAGGGTTACAGGTTCGATCCCAGCTCCCACCAGAGAATGCTGCTGTTGTGTCCTTGGGCAAGACACTTAACCCACCTTGCCTGCTGCTGGTGATCGGAGGGACTGGTGATGCCTGTGTACAGCAGCCTCGCCCCTGTCAGTGCACCCCAGGGCAGCTGTGGCTACATTGTAGCTCATCCCCACCAGTGTGGGGACATATCTCTCACATCTGACGAATACACGCTCGACTATCTCCTCAACTGCACACCTTTCACAAAGTCCATCTAAAGCAAACTCAAAGCTGGTGTGTGTGTGTGTTTTCTATAGGTCAGGATGGCCTTAACCAACACCTCCAGGCTCATCTCATTGATTGACTCCTTTATCTACCTGCAAGGTGAATGGTTACATGATGTGTTCAATAAGAACATGGGAACTTATTTGTGTGGTTTTAGTTTAAGCAGATTATCTGTTGTTGTGACTGAGATACTTTTACATACTTTATCTTGCAAATGTAAATGTGAGACGAGTCTTTGTGATCTTTTTGTTTAGTGGGGGTTCTGGCCTTGAAGTTATTCCATGGTGCCATTTATGTAGTTTCTTTCTTATTGCAGAGTCATGCCGTGCTTTAGATGTTGTTCTAGGTTATTTTGTTCTGGAACTCCTTTAGAACGGGACGCGATGTGTTGCTTTTTGAGATTTTAGCCTTCTTCGTGTAGCAAACAGGTTCTGCTCAAGTGATTTCTGTGTGTTGCTAGGGGTTGTATAAATCACAGTTTATTCATGATTTAACGAGCAGGGGAACTAATTTTCCACAATGGGACAGATTGTTTTGGACCCTTTTTTCTGTCAGTGATAAAAAAAAATGTAATTACTCAGACTTTCCTTGTCTGAAAATTAAATGTATTTGCAGATTCAAAAAGTTTCAATGTTAAAATAAGCAAAGAACAGAAACAAGGACAGTTAAAGAGCAAGTCATCCCCAAATCAATTTTTTTTTTTTTTGCTGATAAACTATATTGTCCAACCATGCTATAGACACGTGTAGTCAATACTTTGGCACTTTAGTGAATCTTAGTTCAAATTTAAATATTCTGCTTAAAACTGTCAGTGTTGTGCCCTCTTCAGGTAAAAACTCTGCACTGCATTTGAATTTAAAACTGCCATCGCTATTGGCTAAGAAGGTACCCTATGACTTTAGCTGGTACATTATGATGTCACAATGTCATTGTGAGCCTGAGTGTGTGCATTTGTTAGCGGCTCCGCCATCCTGGTCTGCCAGGCGACAGCGTCTGTTGAATTTTTCAAATCAGAAGTGGGAGTGGAGTAAGACTCTGGTAGGGGGTGACTTGCTCTTTAACTCATTCGCTGCCAGCCGTTTCCTGATCGCTAACGGCCTTCGCTGCCAGTGTTTCTCGCCGTTTTTACTGTTTTTTTAAGAGACACAGAACGTTGCACGCTAGGATGATGTCAATGCCAAAACAACCAAAACAAAGAGGAGACTCACCTCTTTCATCAGGAAGAATCCGCGTGTTTCGAGCGTTATCCATTCTTTCATAATCCGTTGTCGAGTTGTGATCGGCAGACGCTTTTCCGGTTCGCGCCTCACTTTTTTTTACAGGAACGGCCCAAAACGATCTCCTAACACATGGATGTTCTGCTTCCTGATCATGTGACGTGTGACGTATACGGATGAATATCGGCCTCAGGGCTGAGATGTTTGTTTTCTCATTGTGGGAGCTCGTTCCGATGCTCAAACAGTAAAAACAAAATGCAAATGATGACTTTAGTCGTCATTGGCAGTGAATGAGTTAGGACTGATATTATATTAAGTGCAGTTTGTTTAATTAACCGTTTTTCATTAAAGAAATTATTGAGACCAGGCTTTGTGAAGGATAGAAATCAGTTTTTTCCACAAATCGGTGTATTGTTCGAGTGGCATACGTCCTTATCACACCTTCTTCTGTTGTGTGTCTAAACTTTAACAGAGCTCCATGACAGATTTAATAGTAACTATGGCATCATAAGATGAGTCATCACCCAGTTAGGCATGCAGACGTGCTACCTCAGCATCTTCAGATGCAACATTCAGCAGAACTTAAGCTCCACAGAGCAGGAGACACAAACAATTATCAACCACACTGCTTAATAAATTTCACATGGCTCTTGTTTTGTTCAGTCTTGGCCTTTGCTGCATTGTTTTTTGGTTTAAAGCTAATAAATCTTTTCAAACATCACTAATGTGGCTCATTTCTGTGCAGTTCACTGTGAGCAGGGTGGGACCGCCGTGCAAACAAGAAGCGATGGCAACACCTGTAAGTTGCTCAAGATTTTGCATGTAAAAAGTCACGGCGAACCTCTGGGTGAGCTCACCTAAGACGATTTGATTTATGACCTCTGAGTGCTGAAACAGCCAGATCCTGGAGCAATGGAAGTGATGGCTAAACTGCAGCAGAGAGGAGGGGAAAAAATAATAAAAAGATGCTATAAAAGTTTACAGGCATGCCTGTTATTGTCTACACCACGAGGTGCAAAGCAGACTTAAAAGCCACCATCAGGTGACACGGCGGCCTTGAACGCTCCCCTGATTTCAAAACATTTATTTTGAGCAACTGTCTCACTTTGTCTTTTTCGGTGAGGAGAAGTTCAAAAGCTGACAGTAGCTCTGAAGTGGGGGGCTTTGACTATATGTTGCGTGACGTTTATTGCACAGGACAGTCGTTCGCTTGGTGTGACAGCCATTGCAGAAAACAGCGGGTTTGGTATTTTTGCTGCACTTGCACCTCAGAAAACTAAAAAAGCAGGAGAAAGCAGTCGCCGCAGATCGGTCTCTGAGATTCCTGCTCCCACCCCTCCCTGATCACGTCTATATCAATTACACTGCATCTGAAGCATACACAATGAAGAAGGGACATGGCAGAGTCTTTTATGCTGATGAGAGGCGGTTGGGGATGATGAGAGAGATGGAAGGGGGGAGGAGGAGGGGATTCGAAGTCTTTGGAGCAGATAAAAATGGAAATGTTCCTCTTGCTGCTGAACAGCACTGTATCAAAGCTTCCTGCTGGAGTCTGGGGAGCAAAAAGGAGGGGAGGTAGGAGAGGATGGGGGAGTAGAGAAAAAGAGGGGAGATGTCCCAGCTGTGTTTGACAGGGCTCAGGGCTGAGCTGTGTGGTCCGGCGCTTGGAGGAGGGTGGCTCTCACGTAAAAACACACAGACAGAAGAAAGGGGGGGTGAGGAGACGGCGTGGTCACGGTGTCCTGGGTAACATGTCAGCAAGCTTTGACATGGCCCAGCCTCACGTGGTGATGTCTGTGTGTTATCTACGGGAGCGGATTCAAGATGCTGTGTTCATCTGGAGACAACAGAACAACAAAGGAAGCAACAGGGCTGTTTTTATCATGCAGGAACAAGCTAAACAACAATTTCACTGTGTATCATAAACATTGACTCTAGCGGTTAAACTCGTCTGAGAAATTACGGCCTTACAGCCATTTTGTTCCAATCATATCAGTTGAATCTTACATCTAAAGTCAGCACTCCGTGTGTGTTGGGGTGACTCAGCATGAACTACAACAAGCGTGAGCAGAAAGCTTGGCAAACTGAGTTGAAGCCATTTTTGTTTCTCAGATCAGTTGTTAGTGAACAAGCGTACTTGGGTGGCCAAGGTTGACTTTCTCCGTTTCGTTTATGTTCATTAATTGCTCCAACTGATGAGTTATTTTGCTAATAGATGAATGATGTGGTTCATTCCAGTTACAAGTGATTGACTTGATGGTAAAGTTGGGAGCAAAGATCTTGAGAGAGCTGATAGCTGTAGAGCACACGTGTCTGAAGTGTGGCCCAGGGGCCGTTTGTGGCCCTCGGAGCAGTTTTGCGTGGCCCTCATTTGCATTTCTAGAATGGTGGAATTTTTTGATGCAGATGTTATGTTTACTTAGCCACCACGAGGCAGGTTTTTAGCAATACTAATAAAAAAAGCTAGCATAAAATAATAGATACAGTTCTGAAATAAATTCATACAAGCTAAACATGTTGTGACCCGCTACAACTTCAAAGGTGAAAAGCCATGTTATTAGTTTAGCATCCAAAAAGCGTCATTTGGAATTCTAGAATGTCCAAGGAAGATCCCACCTTTCTCGCCTTTGATTGGCTAGAAAGGCTTTACTGCGATTGGCTATTTTATTTAGCTGCAAACTGGCTGTCCTCTCTAAGTGTAGACTGTCCTTCTGCCACCAGCAGAAAGCTGTTTTGCGGCGTTTTGTAAAGAAAACGTGAACTTAGCGCTATAACAACCATTCTGTCCTGTTTTGCAAAACATTTTATGTTTTATGTTTCATAAAAAACTGAAAAACGTTAAATGTGAATTTATAATCTTGTTGCATTTATCAAACTGTTGGACCTACTTTGAATCTCTTGGCTCT